CTATTCAGTCATGATTCCGATGGCATAATATCTGTAACACAGATTGTGTATGTTATATATATATATATATATATATATATATATATATATATATATATGGCGGTTGATCGGCGTGCATGGCGCGATCTAATCGCGAAGGCAGTTACCGAACTGCGGGAGAAAGACCTCATACATACAGAGAATAAGCGGCAAGTGCGGAAGCGGCAAGCACCGATGGGTTGTACTCCATCGACATCAAGCACATGGTGCTGTAGCACATGTGGTCGCGAATGCCTGAGTCAGACGGGCTTAGTGAGTCATGAGCGAGGCCAATCGGGACCACTACCGAAGCTACGACGGGTCCTGCAGAGAGCGTATGCAGAACCGGCGCAGCGTTTGTAGGTACGCCACATTCGATTTACTAACCGCGTGCTTGCATGCCAAGTCTATTTAGTTCAGGTGGTGGATTTCCAATTTCGTCCGAATGCTTTTCTTTCTCATATAAATGCCTGTACTCTCTTCCATAAACTTGCACACGTCGCTTAAGCTAATTGTACTTAATTTCGATAACATTTTCGTGTTTATGGCATTTCCGTAAAATATACTTTCTGACCTCGGGAACTTATCTCGGATTCTTTTGTAAACAACTTATTTCATACGCTCACTAATTTAAGATTTAGGTCACCGTTTCCTTATGCATTAATAGATTTATTTTCTTGGTTATCTTTCTCCCAAGTGAATGGCTGTTACTTGATATCCCCGGTGGGGGTGCTCTTGATGTGCATGTTGACAAGGTGCCTACCTGTCTATTACCCACTACCTCGTCCATACTGGCTCCAGGAGACAGTTGATTATTGCTTGAGGGGACGGGGTACACGGTCCTTGTGGCCGTGCTAGGCTCGAAGAGTGGTTCCAGGCACTCAGTGTGGAGCGGACTACGGTCCAGCCACCGCCTTGTGTGCGCTTGATTCCTAACTACAGGGTGCTTGCGTTTGCCTGTGAATGAGTGTGGGCCGGCTCCGTTGATGAAACGTGGCTCCCATTCACATGCCTCCAAGTCTTATTCCTTTAGGTTTATACTGGATATGGGGTGTGTGGTTGGAGCTGTGGGTGGTGCAGCGCAAGCCACCCATGGCCCCTCTGTAGGCGCAGGCGTCCTGTGGCTGGCCACAGTGACAGGCAAATCCGAAACCGGAAGCCGCCAACCAGATATATATATATATATATATATATATATATATATATATATATATATATATATATATATATATATACTTCGGGTCACGGTTCGAATCCGCTTAGGGGCAGGCCTCCTCGCGGCATGCTCATCCCATGCGCGATTGGTGGTGGTCACATGATAGCGAGGCGCCTGTACAGTGTGCCGGCATACTGCTGTTGATTTCAATGCAGTCGGTTGGGGTCAACGAAGTGCTACAGTTCTGAAGATTGGATGTATTTGGACCGTTACCACTGAACCGATCAAGTAACACTCACATCCATGTAATGATTGATCATTTCACCTGTTGAGCCGAAGCCATACCTGTTGTAGACCAGATAGGCGTTACTGTGACACAGGCGTTCGAATTCAACGTACAGGCTAGGCATGGAATACCGCATTGAGTTATTACTCACCAATGTAGGTGCGTTCTGTCAAAAACGTTGCAAACAATATTAGCGAAATGGGGCATCCAGAGACAGTGCACTTCACCGTACCACCGGCAGACCAATGGGATGACCGAACGGTTTAACCGGACTATGAGGATTTAGATGAACTGCACGGAGGTACTTCTCCCTTATCGAACTAACACGCGCTTAAACAACAGGACTTCGCCCTTCAACTGGCCATTTTGAGTGAGCTGATACTTGCACTCGATACCTGGTTGGCAATGAATCGCGGGTGCGAACATCCAGCTGCACAGCACGGAAAACTGCAAACAACCCTCAGGAGGGGAACAAATGCTAGGTAGTTATTGAAGAAACGAAACTATAACGCAAGATATGCGGCAGACAAATGGGGACCATTCAGCCAAGGAGACCACGGAAGACTGTGCAATAATGATCCATCGGCATATAGAGGACCAGGTGCGAGCAAATTCAACCAAATTTGTATAGGTCTCTCCACATTAATCCACCAGATGGTAGTGAACTTCAGACTCGACAACAGAACGGCGAAAAGGTGGGTAAATACAGCCCTCCTACGAGCTAGGCATGAAGTGTGACCACGTCTTCGAGAGGGGGTGGGTGTAGCAGCGTGGAAGGCAAGAATCACAGACAGAACAGACAAACCGCACAAACTAAGGAAGAAGAAAAAGAATGACAGCACCAGGAACGAACATCAACAAAGCAGCTTGAGGCCCACGGAACAAGACGGAAACGGTCTGCGAGCAACAAACGATACCGGGCCCAAACAGAAATTGGGGAACCTAGTGGTGAAGAGCCCGATTTTCCGAAGACGTAGGCCTTTGGCTACGCCTCCAGAAATCACCCCAAAGAAAGCGTCGTAAGGCAGATTAACCAAGTCAAGGGGATTAGAACGAATCGGCCGGAAGCGAAGATAGTCTAAAAGGACGTCGTGGATTGATTGAAATCGGGGCATGAATGAGAGGGCGAGCGAAAGGACAGTGTGTGCTGCATGGTGGGTTGCAAATGTGCTTTAAACGTGCGCGCGTGCGTGATAGCTAGGAACCCGTTGTTCGTTGGCAATAAAGACTATGCATTATTACTGCGTCGTTCTCGTTACGCTTCCTCAGTTTCCTCAAAGGTAACCCTGAGGTAGCAAAATCGGACGGACAACGCTAGTTTTACGATCACAGACAAAGAAAATGTTTAGCTTCGTATACATTTTTTGGACTGGGTGCTACTGTGGTATCCTGAATGTTTGCGAAGAGTGATCGGATTCCACCAGAAGATAAGAAACGCCAAAAGAATTCGATTCTGCATCACATGATCTACACTTTTCAATATTGAGACGTAGTACAGTGTGCAGTCTTGACTAGTCTTCTTCTCTTGAGGCGCCAAAGAAGAAGATAACATTTATGTTAGCGGCTATTTCAGATAGATCTGCCAGTGAGTGGTTCACGAGCTTTCGTCAAACTACCGGGCAGACCTAAGAAACAATAGTAAAACTGCACTGAGACAGGGCATTGGCTGATGGAAAATCCGTCAGTGGCATCGATTAGGTTACAATGGTGTAAGTGACTATTCGTTTAGGGAAGTCGACCAGTCATGGGTCACCGGGAAATTTAATCAAAAGAGCCGGAGCTGATCTACGGTACTATTTAACGCTTTTAGCGTATCTACTAATACGGAACGCATTTGGAAACAAGACAACATGGAAAACGAAGATACGCACGACCAGCGCCTCGGAAGCAATCCACAATTGGCCGTACTGCACACCATCACAGTCAGAACGCAAGCGGCTGATCAGATGAATAGTGAGCGGCGCTTTATTACATCTAGTACTTTGGTCACGACGGTCGTTATCGTCCTCCGTAGCTCAGTGGTCTCAGCAACAGACTGGCAACAGTTGGGTTGCGGATTCGAACCCCACAATGGTCGGATGGCATACGCTGTTGCAAATTCCCTAGACTGAAACGGCCGTACAGTCCTTTTCCGGCTGTACAGTGGTTATCTGACTAAGTGCTTTTACGACAAATCTCCATAGAAAAATCAATCCATATCCCACATTTAGCTTATCTCTAAAGAGCTGTTTCGTGCTGCGAAGTTCCACGAAAAGGTGACACTGAGGTGGCACAGAAGTTTTGCTCTGAAGCTTATGATTTCAAGCGCTTCGTTCACGTTAACATGCGTGACTGTCCAAGAGCAGTTGATTTGAACCTGGCGATCTCCATGCCTCTGTCCCAGGGAAACATGGGAGGGTTCTTCAGTAGGTAGTGTTTCCCGTATGTGATAGTCAGTGACTTATACTATTAGCAGTTGTGTCAGCGTAAGCTAACTCTATTTGTTGGAAGACTGAAATAGCAACTGGTTTTATGACACCGATCAAGAGGGAAAAAGCTTTTTAGTGACTTTGAGTTTCCTTGCATCAAAAGGCATAATTTGCTACGCTCTGCAGCGACATCGGGTCGGGCACCCCAAGATCGTCATTATAAGCGTGTACACCGTTGGTATTTGCAGTACGTCGAGATAACGTCATCCTTCGTTGTCTAAAAAGGGACGAAAATGTTTCCACATTTAAATCTCATTATAATAAATGTTGACGGTAGTATGTCCAAGTAATTCACCTATTAGGCATTGCATCGAGCACCAGCTGATTTCAGAAGGTTTGGCGCATGGTTCGTACCATTAGGTTTCCAAAAGTTGAAGATGAAATGCAATTGTAGCGATTCGCAGTCGCGATGCCAATGTTTTATCTCGGTAAAATCACCATGCACAAATCGGATCCCGTAGTACTACAACGTACATCCACGTACGAAAGATGAACACCTGGGGGGGAAGACGCGTAAAACTGTGTATTCCGGAAAAAAGATTCACTCGGGGTACATATGCCTTGAACTCGCTGGCGATCAATTAATAAAGACTCATCCAATCCGTCGCAGGATGCAGAGTGCGTGCGTGTTTGGGGTAAAAGAGAATCAACAGTTGCGAGCCGAACACTTTCAACGCTTTCAAGCCACTTGCAATCGAGACCATTAGCAGAGAGCAGGAGTCTCATAGCGCACAGTCAGCTGACTGTAGCTGAAGGTTGAGTAGAGGTGCGGAAGGGCCAATCGGCCATCAATTGTATTTACATGACCTTTGCTTGCGAACTCTCTGGTTACAGGTTTGTGATTTATGCTAGTGCATAAAGCGACTGACCCAGCGTCTATTCTTCAAGGTTATTGATCCTTTATTAGTACTAATATTATCAATAGTATTACTACGGTTATCTAATATAGACAATTAGTCCCATCGCGTCTTTGTGATTTTGTTGTTGCTGAAAAGACGTGACAAATTGCAACATAGTTTGTTAAACCGCAAGAAATTTTGTACGCGACGCAATGACTTTCTAAGGTCATTACCTTGATTTTACTTGTTCCAAACGACGTTTTCGTGCAGTCAGTTCAGCTCGTGTATCTGCCAGTCGTGATTCAATCTGACGTAGTTCTAGCGTTATCTGATTTTTACGCGCACACAATTCGACACCCGCCTCTCGCTCCAATGCATCGAGTTGCAGTTGTTTTGTTTCCTCACCGAGCACCTTGTTCCTCAACAGGCTCAAGCGCCCTTCCATGCGTTTGACCTAAATCCAACGGCATAGAACAGCTTTGAATTTAACTCCGTTTAACGAATTCCAAGAATTGTTAATAAGAGTAACCAATTTCGTTACCGTCACTAGATAACAGTACCTTCAGCAAAATAATCATCACACGAGTTTTCTAGAAAAAACAAATCTCTCAGTCACTGTGCCTCCAAAATTACGATTGCACAGTCATAACACAAAGTGACAAAAGCAACAACAAAACAAATAATGTTACGTTCTATTCTTTTGTTATGCCTGGCTACCGGGATTTTGGCTAGAAGCCGAAGGGCGAAATACTCACAACACAAATGCCAATGAAGTGGGATCTTCGTTAAGGCAACAACTGTATCCACCCAGGGAGTGGGGGTTCACCAACCGAGGTGAAACTCGGAGTGATGGAGTTTATTCTTAACCACATCATCGGTTGGTCTTCCCTCTTTTTCTTCCATTCAGCCTCCGGTCACACAAACAACGAGTCCCGCAGAGGTATTTGGGTTAACCACATGAAATAATAGTGTTCCCTGGCTCACTTGGTCTTATGAGCTGTAAACAATGCGACGACTACGCTCATTGCTCACGCAGTTTTAACACTAAGTAAAGGTTAAAATGTGGCTGGAAGCGGTTACCGTCCTTATGCCGATCGGTCTGATAGGCAAGGTTTCACAACCATAAGAGAGGGTTGAACATGCGACCGCATGGATACGTAGGGTTCGCGGCGTCAGATTCCAGTTTTGCCTGTCATTGCGGCCTCCCTAAGACAGCCTCAAGACGCCTGCGCCTACTCAAGGACAGTAGGTGGCTTGGGCTGCTCCACTCATAGCTCCATCCACATGCCCCATCTCCCGGGTAAACCCGAAGCAATAAGACGGGGAGACATGTGGATGAGAGCCACGTTTCATCAACGGAGCCAAAGCACACTCCTTCAACCTTCATAGCAGCAGCATTCTTATTTATCTATGTGAGGAATCATACGAATACCAGACCGACAGAAGGCGGTGACTGGGCCGTAGTCCGATAAACACTGCATGGAACCATTAGTTGAGTTTAACACTGGCACTGGGACCGTACATCTCGTTCCCCCAGCAGAGATCAGCAGTCTCCTAGAGCCACTGTAGACGGGGTGGAGGGTGTTAGACAGGTAGACATCTTATCAACATTCACATCCAGCGCAGCCACACCGGGAATGTAAAGCAACATACAACACCTGAAATGCACAAAATTGTCCACGCAGTCACGCGTACAGACCAACAGCACAAGGGCTAAATCAACAGCCTTTTTGGCCTGGGTTAGTAAATAGAATGGAAGAGGACGTAACACATTGGAGGGCCATTTTGAAGCACACATTGTGTGATTGGATTGCGTTGCACAATCTCATGCGACCAAATCAGATCGAAACGAGTCGTGGCGTGCGGTGTTTTTGGGCGGACAACACCCCATTTCCATCTGCGGACGTAACGTGCTAATAAACGCTGCACGGATGCTGATTGGATAATCAGCTGACTCGTCATCTTTTCAATGTGGGACTTGCATGGTCACGCCGGTGCCATGTCAGGCCCACTTGGCCGCGACCGCATTCGCTACAGCACCACGCGTTTGACGTCGATAGGCTAGAATTGATCGGGGGCAAACATTTCTGCACACGGCATTTCTCCTCCTCATGCAATAGTGCCTTCTCCAGTACCTGACCGAACTTTCTCTTGATTAGCCCACGTCATTCGCACCGATCAGCGGCCAACGGTTCCCAACCTCTGAAAGCAAGGGCAGTTCCTTATGAACTCACCTTGTAGAAGAATCGCGAAAGCGTACCTTCGGATTTATAGGGTTTCAGCTCGTAAAGCATCCTTTGACTTCGCGACCGAGCATCGGATCCGTTGCTGCGTTGGATATGTTATGCATAGTCCAAAGTATTGTGACACTTACGGGACACTACCCGGCTTAGTTCGTTAAGGTGATGAATTCGGTATTTCGCAAAGAAAGTTCCTCTAAACCACGTTTACTTTTGGGGTACTTGGAATTCAGAGGACCTACTTTATCTAACGTCATACTAGTAATACCACGGGAGCCCCAATCAACGTTGTGTACTTGGTGTGGTTGCTAACAGATGCTCCGTCAGTTTATGACCAGGTCAGCAGATTTTTGACAGGTAACGACCTTTGCGCCATGCAGCACCCGCTCGAGTAGTTTGCTTTTGCATTTGAATCACAGAGGTTTGTGTGGACTGTTGCACAGGTTTAAATACCGTCCTCCATTATTTGACGACCGGGCCATCACAAGCGCAAACAGCTAAATGCTTGCTCCAGGTAGTGTCTGTTCGACTATCTTGTCCTTGTGCTTGTTTCGTTAAGTCCTCTAACTCGAGTCCTTTGCGTCGGCACTTTCAAGCAAGTCAGAAACTACCAGCTACTTTGTATCTGAATATTCACACTTAACGGGTGCATAAAGCGCATTGTTGACTTGAATTGACTAGTATCTCCTAGAACGATGAAACGGAATTCGCCAATAACAACTTGTTTTCGCCCGATAGCTATATGTTTCTAAGGGTAAGCGAATATTTTACACATCATATCCAATGTCCTGACAGTCAGTTTCCTGCGATCGCTAAAGGACTTGGAATAAATTGAAATTGATAAGTAAAATATCCCAGTTGGATTCGTGTTTCCACTGTTTTAGATGGTTCAAGGAGACTAGTTCAGGCTTGATATCTTTGTGATTGTTTAGGGAAACCGGCTAATTGGTTATGGCTCAGTCGCGGCTGTTGGCTCTCCACATTTAGGAGTCGGGTCTTCAAACCTGCCGGCCCAACGAAAGCCATTGTGAGTAAAACAGCGACGTGAAGAGGTTCAGGCGTAGCGCTGTAAGTCCTATGCTCCTTCATAGCGGATGAGGCAAATTAAGGTGAGCCAGCGCATACCGAAGCCCATAAAAAGAAATCGTTCGAAATTTGGTTTGCAGTGTAGAAGAATCCCGAATGCTTTATCCTGTGATACTTTCATCTCGCTTAACGATCCCTTGGCTGTGATTCGCTCTACCATTTACCCAACTTATTCTTGTCCTAAACCCTTCGTTACTCTGGCTTAATGCTTCTTGTAGCAAGAACGATGCGCCACTGAAGCACGATCTTTATTGAATCGATCACAAGCTATCCGACGACTCACGCAGGCGCACACAAATAAGTCACGTTTCCTTCCCATGACGCACCATTTTTCTTGGCTTCCGCTCGCGACACGTCTTTGCACTTTCGGGACCTCATGGGAGAATTTTTCCTGCCAATTTAACCCCCGTATCTCCGTTTCTAGGTATCCCATTCTAATTGTCCCACAGTCGCTCGAAAACTCGTCATTTGTTTAATCGCGGATGCATCACTCTGCTTGGGGTTGGTCCTGGAAGCTGTAATACCGGCATTTTGTCTGAATTATTGCGTTATTTTCCAATGTCCATTCTGTTCTGCTTAGCTCAGACTCACTACCGGTCACCGCTCGTGACCTGTTTCCGACTCCCTCCGTCAGGCCAGCCTAGCTCCGTCTGCCCTCCCTCCGTGCGCCTATTCCCGTTTCGTGATCATTATATCCTCCGGGCAACCATTGCCTTCTGGTGTTAGTATAATTGCGTATTTATTTTTCACTAAGAATGTGGATGACTTACATTCGGTCTCACGTTTGACCTACTTCTCTACCTTCAGAACAAACTCCACTATCGCTCCACGTAGTAACGCCTGATACGTTATCGGTGCACTCTAGAATGTTTCAATGTCTATCCATCGTGTTCACATTACCACCCAATGCAAGCCTGACCTGACAATATTGCACTGTTGTTGTGAGTTGCGGTCACATTATGAAAACATTTGGTTAGTGCAACCATACTTTTCCATCCTTGTGTAGAATTGACACAATGTCATTAGTGTGTATAATACACAGCTTCTAGCACCCACGCCTCATGGTAGCCTCCCTTCTTTCTGATTTAGACTGTGTAGGGCCGTTTTAGGCCACAATACACTGAAACGAGTTCATTCCCACCTGCGTCTTGCAGCCCTACTTGTCGGCCATTTTGGGCCGTTGCCGTTGTTGACAGGTCTGTAACCGAAGCACAGAATCTTGTCGCATTGTGCATTTGTTGTTTTTAATTGTCTGCCAATAGTATCGCATTCCAGTGCCGGCTTGGTTTTTGTTGATTTCGGCGGAAACGTGTTAGCTCAAGCCTTTCCAAAAGATTTGTTGCTTACATTGCTCACGTCTTGGTAATTTACTTTCGGTTATCTCACGTGCTGTTTTCCTGCACCGTTGTCCATATAACAGATGCTTGGGCATCCGCATCCGAGTCGATGCGGCCTACCTGGATTTCTCAAAGGCATTCGACCGTCGGGAACATCGCATGCTACTCCAGAAATATGGAATCGGGGATCCCCTTCTGGGCTGGATAAGCGACTTTCTCGTTCAAGGTCACCTGAATGTGAAGGGTCGCAGCACCGTCATCCAATCAATCGAAGTTCAGTGCAGCGGACCTCAGGGCTCGGTACTCGGGCCCCGCCTGTTCCTTGTCTTCATAAATGAACTTGCGAACAGGTTATCTCAAACTGTCTGTCATTTGCCGATGAGTTAAAGATATGGCGTGCTATTGCTACAGTGGAGGACCACAAGCCTTACAGGATGACCTGGACAAATCGCATACATGGTCCATAGAGAACATGCGGCATTTCAACGTCACCAAGTGCAAACTTCTCAACATACGTCGCCAGATTACCTACAACTACCGCCTAAATCCACAAACTATACAGCGGACTCCTCATGTGTGCGATCTCGGTGTGCTTGTTCAAGATGACCTCGGTTGTTTGAGGTGGGCTGAAAAGGCATCAAGGAAAGCAAACCAGCACTTCGGTCTTCTTCGTAGAGCGCTCGAGAAGTTTGACGCGTCACTGTTTTCGAAAATGCTTGGCGTGTACGTGAAGTTGCATGCGGAATATGGTTGCCAAGCCTGGCAAACCTGGCTGAAGTACCATCTCACAG